AACAGCATATGTTTGCTTGCCTTTCAGATATCTCTTGTGTAAAATGTCAGTGGATCTTTGGGATAGGTTATGTTGTGTTAGGTAAGGAACAGTTTTATTTTTCTCCTTAGAGTGAGCCAGTTTTCCCAATACCATTTACCTTTAAAAAAAAATCTATCTTTCCCCTATTGATTAGTGATGCCAAGTTATCTTATATTAAATTTGCAAATATGCATGAGTCTGTCTAAGTGCTCTGCTGTATTGCATTGGTCCATTGGTCTCTTTTAGGGCTATTTTTATTACAATGGCTTTGTAGTAGGTCTTAACTTCTGGTAGGGTAAATCCTCCCTCTTTGCTTTCCTTTTTTAAAGATGACTTACCTAGTCAAGGATCTTTTTTACTTCTATGTAAATTTTAGGGTAAATGTCTAAGCTCCTGTAAAAAAAAAAATCCCATTCTTTTAACCTGGAAATTTCTCCGCCTTTCTTTGTCTTTCATGACTGATGTATTTGAAGAATACAAACCCACTGTTTTGAGAACCTCCCTCAATTTGCATTTGTTGGATTGTTTCCTCAAGATTTGATTTGGATGTCTCAGTTTTGGCGGGACCCATGCGTAAGTGCCACTGTGTTCTTCTCAGCGGGTTACACCAGGAGGTACCTCATGTCAGAGTGTGTCATCGTTGTTGATGTTTACTTAACCACTGGTAAAGGCAGAGGCAGTGCGCTCTACCTTCTCCACTGTATTTCTCTACCATAAAGATATCCATCTTTTCTCTTTGTAATTACTAAATAATCTCTGGGGAGCCACTTTGAGACTGTAAATATCTGTTTACCCAACGATCTTTTACTCAATGGTTTGAATATTGTTTGAATCAGTTACTCAGTGATGGTTGCAGAAGGTTTGTTTTCTAACTCTCATCCCTTCCACATTTGTCATCTTTCTACTCTAAAGAAGAGCTTTCCCATCTCCCCCAGTTTATTTGTATGTTGGTTTCATTTTTAGGATCACTGTGGACTCATGCATTCTTTTTGATTCAATATGTTATAATCCATTATTGTCATCATTTTTTTTTTTTTTTGTGGTATGCGGGCCTCTCACTGTTGTGGCCTCTCCCGTTACGGAGCACAGGCTGCAGACACGCAGGCTCAGCAGCCATGGCTCACGGGCCCAGCCGCTCCGCGGCATGTGGGATCTTCCCGGACCGGGGCACGAACCCGTGTCCCCTGCATCAGCAGGCAGACTCTCAACCACTGCGCCACCAGGGAAGCCCGGATTTATCCACTCTTAAAAAGGGGGAACTGAGACACATACAGGGAGAACAGCACATGAAGACAAAGACAGAAATGAGGGCAATGCTTCTATAAGCCAAGGAATGCCAGAGTTGCTAGCAAACCACCAAAAGCTAGGGGAGAAGTCATCTCCCTCACAGCCTCAGAGGGCACCAACCTTGCTGACACCTTGATCTGGGACTTCCAGCCTCCAGAACTGGGAAACAAAACAGTTCTGTTGTTTTAAGCCACCCAGTTTGTGGTACTTTTTACAGCAGCCTTAGGAAACTAATACACTCACCTTTCTCTGTTCCTTACTTATGCCTCCTTTCTCCCACAATGAAAACTCTGGCTCCTAACAATATCTCATTTTCTCAGTCTTATGATACACAAAAATTGTCTCAGAATTGTTACACTCCTATCTCTACCAACCACAAAATTATTAAGTAAAGTTAAAGATTCTTTGCAGTTCTTTTTGTGTTTATACGAAGGGTATAAAGTCAAAGTACTGCATTCAAAGCTACTTGGATTAGTTCTTTTTTTCCCTTCTTTTTCTTATGCGGTTATGTTATCGATTTGATATATAGTTCAGTTTATTTGTTTTGGTTTTATTCAGTTTTAGGGGTGGTGAGCTCCCCATCCATACTGATGGAATTTTATTTACTCAACATATGACACATTAACAAAGTTCCAAAAGTTTGTCAAAACTATGCAGAAAAAGTATATTCAGAGAAATATCATTCTCTTTCCTTTCCCTTTCACTCCATTCCTCCCCACCCCTGTGGGTAATTAAATGTGGTTTCATTCGTTTCTAGTTTACCCTTCTTGTGATTTGGCAAAAATAAGCAGATTTGTATGTATTTTCTTATTTCTCTTTGTACACAAAAGATAACATACAATGTATCACTCTATTTTTCTACTTAACAGTATATTCTGGGAAGCATGTTCCATAAGAACTTTTAGAACTCTTTCTCATTCCTTTTTTACAGCTGCCTAGTGGTGCATTTTGTGGGTGTACCATGTTTAATTCATGCTCTCTCTGATTATGGGTATCGAGGCAGTTTCCACTATTTTGCTATTACGTATAATGTTGCAGTGAAGAACCATGCACATAAGTATTTTCATAAAGTTGGAAATAAATCTTCACGATAAATTCCTGGAAACGGGGTTGCTGGGGCAAGGGTTAAATACACGTCTAGTTTCATTCGGTATTGTCACATCATCCCCATAGGGCTTTACCCCTCTGATTTCCACCAGCAATGCCAGAGAACGCCAATTTCTCCACAGCCTCTCCATGTGGTGTGTTGTCAAGCTTTTGAATTTTTGCCGACCTGATGGGTGAAAATGGCATTTCAGTATAGTTACAATTTGTATTTCTCTTATTATGAGTGAAGTTGAATATGTTTTTACTATGTTTAAGGGCCATTTATTTCATTTTTAGTGAATTGTATATCCATGTTTTTTGTCCAGTTTTCTGTTGGAACTTTGGTCTTTTCCCTCACATTTTAAAGAGTTCTTTAAATATTAATCATATTCGTGTTTTATCTTTGAGATATATATATATGATATATATATATGTATATATACATACATATATATATACATATATACATATCATATATATATGATACATACATATATACATATATGTATATACATATATACATATATGATACATACATATATACATATCATATATATATGATATATATATATATGTGATATATGTATCACAAGTACTTTCCTTCAGTATGTCATTTTGACTTTGCTTATAGTGCTTTTTGCCATGTAAAAGTGTCTTTTCTTTCTTTTTTTAAAAAACTTTCCTTGGATTTATCCATTTATTAAACTTGGATTTATCCATTTTTTAATTGAAGTATAGTTGATTTACAATGTTGTGTTAGTTTCTGGTGGATTTATCCACTTTTAAAACTGCATCTGGATCACGTTTGAAATGTTAATGGCTAAACAGTAATAGCATCCCTGTTAAATCCTAAGCAATCAGAACACTTGCTTCTCTAGATTTTGCCAAATGCCAATCATACTGGGCTGAGCTAATCTACCCCTCTTTCTGAAACTATTATGGCAAATAATTAAAATAAGACTTCCTCTTATTTTCTTTAACTTATTTATTTGGCTGCGCCGGGTCTTAGTTGCGGCACGCAGGGTCTTCGTTTTGGCGTGTGGAATCCTTTAGTTGCGGCATGCATGTGGGACTAGTTCCCTGACCAGGGATTGAACCCGGGGCCCCCTGCATTGGGAAAGTGGAGTCTTAACCACTGGACCACCAGAGAAGTCCCAGGACTTCCTCTTACTTCATCTTGCTGGGCCGCAAATTGTCCCTTGCTCCGAGTTCAAACTGTAACCACCTTCTAGCTACAGTAAGGGGGGCCTGGGGCAGAGCCAGACGCTAACGGTGGACCAGCTGGTCGATGTATTGTTACTGTGAATTAAGCAGGAGACGGCCTTGGGAACCAGAGAAGAGTCCTAGGGTCCAAGGGAGCTGATTTTACTGGTTATGACGGGGACCTATTTCTCTCATATGATTTGAGGCACTTCAGAAGGCTCCTACCTTCCATATTTGGTCATCTCCAAATACGGGCCTGCCATTCTGCCTGAAATTTCACTACGGGTCCCCCCTTTGGGCTAAGACATTGAAACAGAAGGATTATGTGCGTATACATACCTGCTAGTCCAGAGGCACAGAGTGGTCGTGAGCTTATCCGCTCCTTCTTAGCAGAGCTTGGAAAGAATGGGACATAGGAAGGTCATGCTTTGATAGGAAGACTGAGCCTGGGACCAAGGGTGGCAGAGGGCATTGAGGTGGGAGGACGTGCCCTCGTGTGACCATGTAGAGAAGGATGTGGAGCTGAGGGTGCAGACACGGGGCAGAAGTGTCAGGACAAGGGGTACCATCTCTGGGAAGGGTCCATCTCTGCTCCACTTCCTTGCCCAGGTCCCCAATGCAGGATGTAGCTTATTCCCTAGTGACCCTGCCTACTCCCCTCACATGCAGCCAGAGTGGGCTAGAGCCTTCCAGAGGCTCCCTGTCACCTTCTGAGTCCTAAACAAACTCCTTACCCTGGCATTCAAGGCCCATCTCTCCAGGTTCCTGTCCCTCCAACTTTGCCCACAGACCCTATGAGTCTTCTCTGAACAAAAACATTGGAATGTGCAAGGTGACAAGGACAGAGTATTCATGACAGCTGGGGAACTGTGATGTAAAACTAGGACGTTGCTTGTAAATCTGGGTTCAGGTGCAGCCACGGTGGGAACTGTCTCAAGCACACTTTCAGACCTCCAGGTCCTCCCTCCGTCTTGGGGGTCCTTTCCCCATCCCTGGCATCACCGAGGCCCCGCATTCTGAAAGGCTCCAGGATGCCCCTCTGGCAGAAGCTGTCTCTGGTCCCCCGCAGCAAGTGCCCCAGCTGCCTTGCTGAGTTCAAGCTGTCTGAGCTCTTGGCCCCGAGGGAGGGGTGCAGGCGCCACCTTGTGGCCCCAAGCGTTTATGGCACTGAAAGCTGCCCCTGGACGGGAGAATTGCTGTGGATCCCAAAGCTTGAGGGCCCAAGACCGTGGGTGGGAAGACCGCATGCTCCCAGCCTGCCTGTCCTGACACCCCAACCCCGCTAAGACGGGTCACCGGGGTGCCCCGGGCCTCCTGACAGGGAAGTTGCTTTTAGCGCTTGGAAGGGGAAGCGGTGGTCTCATTCCTACAGGTCCTTACGTTTCTCCATCCCCGCCCCCCAGGTCTCACCAGCTCTGAGGCTGCCAAGTGGGGCTGCAGCAGGATGCTGCCTTGTTGGGGTGCCGTGCGGCGTAGGAGCTGAGGATGAGCTTGGTGTGCAGAGAGGCCCGGGCTGAACAGCCCGCCGTCACAGGCACACCACTTGATCTCTCGGGGCCTCCAATTTCCTCTTCGTAAAGAGGGTAACGATTTACAGCACGGACGTTCCTGAGCGTTGGAGATATGGACGTAGACTCTGGGCACTTAATAGGTGCTAAAAATGGCAGCTTGTGAACTTGAGTGGCGGCCGGCACCTTCTCCAGGAACGCACTCCCTGCCCTGTCTGGGGGACGTCTCCCCTCAGTGGCCCCTGGGTGCCCTCATCGCTACCCTCAAGCCCCTGTTGGGCATCACTTACTTGCTGGCATGCCCACCAGCTGGGAGATGGTGCATGGCAGGCAGGTGCAAGATCGTCTGCCACAGTGCCAGACACCCGGTACGTGCTCAGATGGACACATGGGTCAGATGTGACTCCTGACGTGGGGGCGGTGAGACCAGCGTAAAATGGATGAGAAGGTCGCCCTCAGGTCTTCTAAGAGATGGTCAGTGAATGAAGAAGTTGGGGGGAAAGCACTCCCTGAGTTTCTCTCAGGAGGACTTGAGTGCCAAGATGCCAACCAGGCGACCAGAGCTCTGCCCCACCCAGTCAGAGCAGCGGGGCGCCCACTCCATCGCGGGAAGGGAGCTAGAGAAGACGGAGCTGCCCCCGCGGCGCCCACGGGCTGCGTGAGGTGAGGCCTGACGGGACGAGCATGTGGGTCTGCGCTGGCTCCAGGAGAGAGGAGCCTCGAGCTGGGGCTCTTTTCCAGAGCTTTCTGGAAAAGGGGACTGCACTCCCTTCCTGTGCAGAGCCTTCTGAGTCCACAGGATAGAGGAGAGACCGTGGGGTGGAGGGCGGACACCGGCTGGGCTGCAGGGCTCTCGGGCCTCAGGTCACCGAGCAGGTTGACCTCTGGGGGAGCTGGGCGGGCTGAGCCGGCTGGGCCTCCTAGCAGGAGCACCGAGCTGGATGAGGCCGCAGCCCCACCTTCTGCATGGTGCCTTTGCCACGGTGCCCAGACGTTCCCGGGGCCAAGCAGGCTGTGGGGCTGGGACTCCGGATGCATTCTCGGGGCAGCTGGAGAGCCACACTCGGCTGGCCTCCCTGTGGATGCTGCCCGGCCATACAGCCCTCTCCGGCCAGCCGCCTGGTCCCGGGAGGAGATGAGGGCAAAGCTCTAGCAGGCAGCTCAGATACCCCTGTCCTGACCCCCAAATGTGCTGGACCGTTCCCAGAACTCTCCACAGAGCGAAGGGGAGGCCTCGGTTAGCCAGGAAGGAAATCGCCTTCCCTTCCTTCCTCCTGCTTTGATTCACCTAAACAAATACTTACCATCACCTGCTCTGCGCTGGGCCCTGTGCTGCCCCGAGGGCTCCCGTGATGGCAGAGTGCAGACGGGCGGGCAGGTCCTGCAGTGAAGCCCCCTCCTGGCTTGGTCTGAGCCCACTTTCTCCAGGAAACCTGCCCGTGCACCCGTGCGAGGTCGGTTGGTTTGAGAGCAGGAAGGCACCTCGGGCTGGGGTAGAATCTCACTGCCGCCTCCCAGGGCCGGGGGGCATAAGAGGCTTCTCTGGGGTCTGGTCTCTCGACCCTCACTGGCTTCAGTCCTTGGGTCCGAGGCGGGCGGAGGGAGCTGCGAGTCTGGTCAGCACCTTCTCTGAGCTCTCAGGCTGTGTGATCCCTGTGGCCTCGCTGGCTGGCGCCCCGGGGCATGGCCTGAGCTGCGTCCCTCCTCCTGGGCTAATCGGGCCTGCCACCCGGAGGCCCAGCTCCCCTCAGACAGTGGCCAGGATGTGGATAGCGCTGGTACAGTTACCCACACGTAATAGCAGGACAGTAGCAGTGGGCATTAATCACGACACAGGCGACATCTGCCAGGAATGGGCTGGACCCACGTGAGATGGAAACTGAGCCTCCGAGTGGCGAAGTGACTTGCGCATGGCTGCACAGCTGATGGGGCAGGGCCTGGTGTGCTCACAGGTCTGCCAGCCTTAGGGCTTCCCACACTTTTCTCAGTCAGGGAGTGTGTCAGTTTCCTAGAGCTGCTGTAATGCAGGGCTTGAAACAACAGAAGTTTATTCCCTCCCAGCTCTGGGGGCCGCAAGTCCGAGATCGAGAGTACCAGGGCTGTGCTTCCTCTGAGACTTTTCCAGCTTCCGGTGTGGCCGACGCTTGGTGCTCCTTGGCTTGCCCTGTGTCACCTCAGTCTCTGCCTCCGTCACCTCTCCCTCTGTGTCTCCATCTTCACGTGGCATCTCCTCTTCCTAGAAGGACATCAGTCATACTGGATTAGGGCCCACCCCCATGACCTCACCTGCAAAGACCCTCTTCCAAATAAGGTCACATTCGCAGGTACGAGGGGTTTTGGACAAGAACATATCTTTGGGGGGAAGGGGGACAACTCAACCCACAATCGAAAAGAAACAGATCAGGGGCAGAGCCTGAAGCCGTGAGTTCCCGGTTTGAAATTTCTTTAGAGTCTCAAGTTTCATCTTAAAAATTCTTGCATTTCATACATTATTCTCTATTTTAAATTCATGTTTGTTTTCATAGGAAATATTATTTCTCCAAAGCTCTGACACTTTGGTGAGGAGGAACATGTATATCCTATGGCTTCATGAGCCTTCAGGACATTTCTAAATTTCCTCAAGGGAATTTATATCCCAGTTGGAAAAGTATCAACCAGCAGAAATTCATTTAATTCCCTTAAAAACCCAGAGAGGCAGATATATTTAAACAAAGAGGAAACTGAGGCTCCTAGAGGTTCATGATCTGCTAAAATCACACCGTAATGGAATTCGGTTCTTCTGGCTCCTTGATCGGCTCTTCTGCTGTAAGCGTGTGACCCGGGGGTGGGGGGCGGAATAGGCGTGTGCCCTTCCCCACACGCCCACATGTGCAGGGAGGGATTTTTGTACCTGTTGTGAAGTTCAGTTACATGAATTCTGGGACATAAACATAGTTTGCTACATAAAACCATAAATTTTTCAGTAAGATAGAAAAGAAAATCTACCCACACTGCATTCAAATGTTACATTTGCAAATACTCATGTTAGAAACGCCCTTCAGTGTTTGCTTGTGAGAAGGCGGTGCTCTTCATCAGCTCTGCTCGTTATTTGGTGGTTATTTAGGAGGTAGTTAGTGGACTCTGCATGGAGAGAGTTGTTTCCAGCAGCTGCTGTGAGCGGCTCTGAGTGAAAGTACTCGTGTTAAGTGGGTGCCCACCCGGCTTCACCCAGCCCCGCCCGTTCACCCGGTCACCCACCCTCCCTCCACGCAGCAAACCTCTGCTGGGTATCACTGGGTGACACACGCCTCTGCCCGCAAGGAGCTCGTGCGCTGGAGCACAGGGGCCCCTGACACGAGACTTCCTCGTACCCGGGAAGGAGCAAGGGGGAGCCTCGGGGACTGGGAGAACAGCCCCGTCTGCGTGCCAGGCAGGCCGAGTGTGCATGTGCGTGTGCACGTGCATGCGAGTAGGCAGGTGGCAGCCCCAGAGCTGCCCATCGGCTCGGTCTCACCTGGCATCCATGGCCCCGCCCTGAATCCACCTCCTCGCCTCCGGGGGTGGGTGAAGCCAGGACACCCGTTGCAGACGTGAGCACCTGCCCAAGCCAGCCCCGGACGCCAGGCTGGGACCCCTGACACCCCTGCCCTGCCCAGGCATTGGGCAGCCTGGTCCTGGCCCCCCCTCCCCTGTTTGCTCCCAGAGGCCGTGGCCCTGGTCTGGGGCTGTGTGAGCATCTCCTTGTTTTCACCCACAGATCCCAAGGGTTCTCAGGAGGATCTGCTGGAGGAAGGAGATAATTTAGGCGACACCCATGCAGGGTGAGTCTGAGGTCTGCTTGGGAGGCTTTCGGGTCTTAGTCCTGCCACCCCGTTGGCTGAGGGAACACCAGCTACTACTTCTGAGTGTCATGGCGCAGAGCGCCGTGCTGCCTCCCCAGGGACACTGTTGTAATCCTCTCTACCGGGATTGCTTGTTTCCCTCCCCAGAGAGGTTAGGTGACTTGCCCAGTGTCTTCCAGCCAGGAAGCGGTGGAGCAGTACTGCCTGCCGTACCCTGTGGCGTCTCGGTGTTTCCGGCCCCTTGGTCCTGGCCTGGGGGAGGATCCCGGGACGCAGAGCAGACGTTTCTCATGGAACCAGCCAGCGCTGCGTGTCAGTGAGAGAAACTGGATGGGCCACAGTGCCCACATCTCCCAGCTGCCTTGTCTGGGTGCCTGAAACTTCTCCACTTTAGCACCTTTCCTCTGTGTGGAGTTAACCGTGTCAGCATCCTTGGGGAAGCAACCCTCGCCGCCACCAGCACCGGTACAAACAAAACCTGGCGTAGATGTCCAGGCTGGTCCTGGGTGGGAACGGCATCCCGGGTCCAGGGTCTCTCTGAGTCCTCATCTCTATTGTGAGTCTGAGGTTCCAGGGTAGGAAACTGAGGCCCAGAGGGGCTCCCAGAGTTGCCCCAGGTCACCCCACAAGTAAAGAATTGATGTTCAACTCTTTAACGTGCGGTGATGACAAGGACATTTGTAAGCGTCTGAAATTGATATGCCCCTGGCACACCAGCGCCGAGGCTGATCGTCTGGGAACAAATGCTAGTGAGATGCCACCTGCAGGCTGGTAGCAACTCTTTATGGCAAGAGGAATACAGCAGTAATAATACTCACTGCCGCCTTCAAGGGCCCTCTCGGCACAGTGGTGATCCCAAGCGCTTAGCGCATAGAGATTATGTTTGATCTTCAAACAACCCTGCAGACAGGCATTCTCATTTCCCAGTTGAGGATGTGATGACGGCAGAGAAGTTATTGATCTGACCGAGACCATCCATTGGTGTGGGGAGGATCTGGTCCTGACCCCAGAGCTTTTCAGTTGCACCCACTTGTTTTCTAGAAGTTTCGCTACATGATGAGGAACGTCCTTTGCAAACATGACTATTTGTATCTGCCCTTATACCAGATGCTAGGCTGAACCAAGGGAAGAGGTTTTGTCCACACCAGGTGAGTGTGGGGTGCTGCAGGGGGCAGCAGTCGGGTGCCCGGCCGGGAACGGATGTGGGTCCTCCCGCCTCCCGATATGGTCCTACCTCTCCCTCAGGCTTGCCACTCAGCAGGCCAGTCCTTCCACCAAAAACCCCGACGGGGGCTGCGCCAGGCTTTGTGAATGAGGAGGGAGGGGGATCGACAGAGTCTCGGGGGCAGATGGACAAGGAGAGGCCCAGGCAGTGGGCCTCTGGGGTGGAGGGTGGCAGTGAGGAGGCATGCCCTCTGGGTAAGGTGAGTGTACCTCAGGCCAGTCTGGGCAATGCCCGGAGCCTGGGGGGCACTGGGGTCAAAGGCTCCCAGAGGAGCAGGGAAACTGAGGCCCCAAATGTGTCTTCAAACTTCTGTGGGCCCATCCGCTCAGCAGCTCCTCCTAGAACAGCTGCGTGCGCAAGCACGGTGGCCCCCGGGCTCTGTGAGCCTCTCGCGGGGGAGCCGGGCTGGGGTGAAGGGCACGGAGCAGGGTGTCCACTGGGGCTTTACAGGAGGCGGCACCAAGCTGCACGCACGGGGGGAGAGCAAAGAGATGGTCTTGTGGAGAAGAGAAGCCGTAGAAAGAAGAGCTCCAGCACCGAAAGGGGTGGGGAGGGGCTGCAGCACTGGAGCAGGGCTGGCGCACATCATCGTGTTGCTGGGCTCCTAGCTGCAGTCAGAAGCAACCCAAGTTTTAAAGAGAGAGTGAACCTCTGAGAAGAGAAGGTGACGTGTGTAAAGAGATAAGGACGCGGGGTCAGAGGCAGGACTGGCGTTGGGGCTTGGAGCCAAGGTTCTGACTCAAGCAGAGACAGGGCTTCAGTAAGAAGTCAGGGTGGAGGGCGGAGGCTCCAGGGGACTGCCAGGCCCGCTTGCGAAGTGGCTGTGCAGGCTGGACAGGGCAGGGCACACGTAAGCTGGGGCTTTGACTACAGCAGGGTGACCGGGCAGGGCTGGCCTCAGAGGGTCAGGAGGCCCGGAAGTAGATGGTAAGCAGCAGAGCTCCAAGGGCCCCGGAGCGGAAGGCAGGGCGTCAGAGAAGACCGGAGAAATGGGCTGGTGAGGCTGGTGGGCATGGCAGGCAGCGTCCAGGCACCAGGGCAGGGCAAGTGGCACCTCCCACTGTGGTCCGGGCTGAGGGTGGGCCCCGGTCTGGACCAGAAGCTCTCTGTCCGTGGCCCCCGGGTCAGGATGGGCCGCAGCACCATGGCCTGGGGGGGAGGCTAGGCAAGGGCCCTGGGTTAGGGTGGAGAGGCTAGTGGGCCCAGAGTCACAGAATGGAGAGAAAACGAGACAGACCCTCCAAGGGCTGGCGAGAGTATCACTCTGGAGGAAGCCGCCCAGTAGCAAGTGGATAAAAAACACATTCCTGGAGGAGCCCAGAGACAAGGGGACTCGGGGGAGGCTCCCAGAGGAGGGCTGACTGAGTCAGAGAGCCATTAATCCTCATCTCTGCGGGTGCCACGTGGGGAGGGGCAGCCTGTGGTGAAGGAGCCTTCAGCCAACGCCATCGCAGGTGGGTCAGGGCGGGGCAGTGCCCAGCAGGCCCCTCCGTCCCAGAAGGGTTGCTGCAGGGCCTGGGCCTCCGAACCCTAAAGGATTTATTTACCCACCAGGCCTCTGGATGTCAGCGTTGCAGGCTCGGAACTGGATTTGCCAACTCGGCAAGATGGATCCATCTCTGGAGGAAGGGCTCACGTTGACCAAGCTCACGTGACTGATGGATAAAATGTCAATTTATCAATAATGAATGTCATACGGACCAACTTTTTTTTTTTGGCTGTGTTGGGTCTTCGTTGCTGCACACAGGCTTTTCTCTAGTTGCGGCGAAGGGGGGCTACTCTTCGTTGTGGTGCGTGGGCTTCTCATTGCAGTGGCTTCTCTTGTTGTGGAGCACGGGCTCTAGGCACGCGGGCTTCAGTAGTTGTGGCGCATGGGCTCAGTAGTTGTGGCTCTTGGGCCCTAGAGCATAGGCTCAGTAGTTGTGGCGCACAGGCTTAGTTGCTCTGTGGCATGTGGGATCTTCCTGGACCAGGGCTCGAACCCGTGTCCCCTGCATTGGCAGGCAGATTCTTAACCACTGCACCACCAGGGAAGTCCCTTGTTGAAGTCTTGAGGAGAATTCCTTCTTCTTGCATTTTAAGTTCTGGAGGCCAGAAGTCCGAGATCAAGGTGTCAGCAGGGTTGGTTCCCTGTGAGAGGTGTGAGGAAGGGCATGTTCCAGGCCTTTCTCCTTGGCTGGTAGATGCCACCTTCGTGCTCACATGGTGTTCTCACTATATGCAGGCCTGTATCCAAATTTACCCTTTTTATAAGAACACCAACCGTATTGGATTAGGAGCTCACCCTGCTCCAATATGACCTCATCTTAACTAATTACATCTGCCAGGACCCCATTTCTAACTAAGGTTGTTTTCCGAGGTCCTGGGGATTAGGACGTCAACATATGAATTTTAAGGAAACACAATTCAAACCATAACAGAGACTGAATTCAAAGGAGCGTAGAAAACCAGGTCTGGGCATAGCCAACAGCCATGGCGGTTCTAGAGGCTTCAGAGCAGGAGTTAAAAGATCTGATTTAGAGCCCACACAGTTGGGCCAAGCAGCTAGCTGCCCCTTAGCCTCTCGAGAGGACTGGCTCACCATGCCCAGGTGCTGTGTCTCTCTCTTCAGAATTCGAATCCCAGCAGGGAGCAGCTGGCTGGTCTAGTTGAGCCAAGAGCCTGACCCCTTAGCCTGCAAGGGAGTGGCAGGAGACAGTGGGGAGCTGAGGACAGGGCCGTCCGCGGTGGGCCCTCCAGACCGTGTCCCACGTGGAGGAGTCACTCCAGCGTGTACTGGGGGAGCGGCAGGGAAGAGGGAAGGGGCCTTCCAGGCCTGCCTCTTTTAAGAGGCTTTCACACCTCTGCTGTGATCTGTGTGCATTGATGTCACGGCCTAATTCTGAGAGAAGGTTCTCAGATGTGGACTCTGAAGCTCAGAGGTCTGGCCAGGACCCTGGAGACCCAGGTGACCCTGACTCCACCGGGGAGCCCTGGGCCAGCCCTCTTTCATGGGGAGCATTTGGGCCAGGTGAGCTCTAAACACCTTACAGCCCAAATGTCTGCATGGGTAGTGTGTGTGGAGCAGTTTCTACAGCCCCTGCATCCTCTCTTCCTCATCTCCTCCTAAGAAACTGAGGCAGCAGCCTCCCAGCATTGAGGAGGGAGCTGGGGCCATATTTCCAGGAGGGCTGGCCAGGGGAACGTGCCAGGCTATTTTTGCCAAAATCTCGGCTTCTGTACACTGGTGCCGAATAGAAATATGAAGACGGAATTTAGGAGGAAAGAGAAAGTGTAACTTTACTCTTTGCCAGGCAAAGAGGGAACACTGCAGCCTAGCGCCTCCGAAGACTGTGCCCCCCACCCTTCCAGAGGGTAGTGAGACGTTTTATAGCAATAGTTCAAAGAGGGCGTGATCAGCTCATGGACATTCTTCTGATTGGTTGGTGGGGAGGTAAGTGGGAGTCGGCATCGTCAACCTTCTGGTTCCAACCGGTCTGGGGTCCACATGCTTGTAGGCAGCATAACTTCTCCCACCTGGAGGGTGTTTCAGCATCTGCAAAACAGCTCAGAGATATTGTTGCGTGTATCCATTGATGGGGCACCAGCACTTTGCCCCAAGGCTGAACTATTGTTCTCCTGACCTTGTTTCTCCCTTGTCTTGCATTCCCTCCCTTCCCTAATTAACAACTGCTTGAATCTGCCCCTTGGAACTCAGGGAAGGTCATGGAGGCTGAATGAAGCCTGTTTCCTGTAATCAAAGAAATGGGGGACACAGATATCATGCCCAGGAGCCCCACAGGGCCCTGCTCGGTATCATTATCTGTTGGGACTTCCCCGCAGGGCCTGAGAGGAGCCAGTGGGCGTCCCTCCTGAGTACACGGACCTTCCACCCGCTGGCTCAGGCCAGGCCTCCCGGCAAGGTCAGCATCCCGTGCGGCCCGGACCCCCATGCGGTCACTGATGGGAGGCCTGGGCCAAACTCTTCTGAGTGGCGAGCTACCAACATGCAGATGGCGTTGGGGAGTGAGAGATGACCTTGCAGCGGAGGTGGGGTAGAGACCGCCGCCCCCCAGCCCTGGGTGCGTTCCCGCCTCTGCCCGGAGGGGCCTCGGCTGGCAGCCAGCTTGCCACCTCTGGGTGCAGCCACAAGCTTGAAGCCCGGTGTCTGAACGGCCACAGGGACTGGGATGTCTTTGAGGAATCACAGAGAGAAGGATGTCCAAGCTACAGGAGCCTTCAGCTAGGAAATAAGCCTCCGAGAAAGGCGGTGCTTGGACAACTGGACAAACCAGACACTGAGCTGGTTCCTGACCTTCAAACTTCTGCTCTCTGAGAGTTCCTCAAACTGGGGTCCCCTGGGTCTGCTTGGGAGTCTAGGAATTCTTTACGAAGAAGACTTTTAATTGGGTGTTTGTAACCTAAGAAAAATCTAAAAGCAATACGATTTGCATATCCTGGCTCATCCTGACAAACCTCTAATAAGTGGGGGACAGCCATGCGCTGTCTGGGGCCCAGATCACGTGGGGGCTCTTTGAACTACTGCAGGCTGGTGAGAGAAGGACCCAGAGAAGCTGGATGATGTCATGGCCCCCGGCTGGGGAGGGCGGGCAGCAGGGAGGGAAAGGCGGTCAGCCCCAAAGAGGAGCCAGGCCTACGGCTCTGCAGGTCTGAGGTCTGCGGTTCCCGCCAGCCTCCGGCAGCTCCAGGGCGTGCAGCTCCTCTGACACAGCCCCGTGATTCATGCCTCATCTTGGCTCAGTAACTGGAGCCAAGCCAGAGGCAGAATTTTCTAGGCTGTGTGGCAACAAGATCAGCCATCCTGAGAGGACTGGGTGTGCCAAGGTTGGGGGGCGGGGCTTGCAGCAGAAGTTGGGAGGCTCTGAGTGATCCCCAGGGCAGCAGGGACTGTGCAAGAGCCATAAAGAAGAAACAGGCCCCAGACACACGCAGAGCCCCTCCTTCCAGGCACGTAAATTGCATGCCTCCGTTGGGTGCTGCCCGCCTCCTACCCCTTACCCACTACCTAACACGGATCTTCACTCACTGCCCTGAGGACAGCCTTGCAGGGAGGGACAGAGCCATGCTGACACCAGGAAGCCCACGGGTGGATAGGCAGGTGTCCTCCCACGGCCGGTCAAGTTTCTGCGATATTGGTCATGGATTCTGTTTGGGCCTCTGAGAAGCTGCGCTTTGCCCTGTCCTGGAGGTGTTGACAGAGTGGCCTGGAAACCTGGGTCAGCAACGGGCAAATCCCGACAAGTGGCCCCAGTGCCAGGAGAGACTTAAGAAAGCATGAGCTCAGCTGGGGACCGAGAACCCACTGTCATGACACATCTCGTTTCCGGGCCCGCCCAGAAACCCTTTCTCTGGAGGCAGCGTGGCGTAAGGGAAGGGCCGGAGCTTGGAAGGCTCGCTGTGGGTTGTCACAGAGCCCTCGGTTCCCTGGGGTTTGGGCTGGAGCATCTCGGGGTCCCCCTGGCTGACCCTCTGGCCAGGGACTTCCTTGGAAGCTGGCTGACTCGCGCTGTAGCCAGCCCGGGACGAAGGAATAAAACCCTCACAGTTAGTAGAATCCTTACCGCCCACCCCACCACCCCCCCCCCCGCCCTGTCCCCAGGACAGCCTAGACCAGGGCCATTGGTGCCCTAGGGCCACCACCAGTGGGAAATCCCAAAAGGACAGGGTGCTTCAAAAGGGGGACAGGCTCGCAGCTGACTTCATTTGGAGCCAGGCTCCAAGAGGCTTAAGAAGGCTTTAGGGTTCTGCTGGCAGTGGGTATGAAAATCCCTTTGCTACAAATGCTCTGAAGCAAGTCATGAATTTCTCTCATCCATCCATCCATCCCCACCTGCTCGTCTGGCCCAGCTGATGTCCGGCGAGCATCCTAGCACAGACGTGGCTGCGGCAGCTCCTGGGCTGGAAAAGGAGTGGTCCTGCCAGTCCAGCCACTTCAGCCAGCCCCAGGCAGCACCACAGACTCAGACCTGGAGATACCGTCCACCAGGGATGGAGCAGGAGGCCTGATGAGGACACAACTTACAGCAAGGGGGACACGATTCTGACTCAGCACAGCCTGGACCTCTGCCCTGAGAGCAGGGAAGGGCCAGGCTGAGGGAAGTATAGCCTTACACCGAGGATCCCAAGTCCCTAGGTAGGAGAAACACGCAAAAGCTGAGATGAGGAAACCAAGACGTAGAGGGAAAAAAGTGCCTGGCCCAGAGTCACTCAGAGTCAAGGTTGACCCAGGAACCTGGAAGGGGAGGGAGGAGAGGAAAGAAGGAGGGGAAAGAGGAGGGGAAGGAAGAGAAAAGGGGGGCTCTGGAGCTGAGGCTGGAATTAGCAGGGGAACTGCAGAGATGTCCAAACCCCCAGCCGGCTCGCCTGGCCTTCTCCTGTCCAGAGGTCCAGTCGCTGGGCGTTCAGGGACCCACACAGCCCACCTTCTCCCAGCGGCTAGGCCTGTGTTCCCGCTGCTGTGTGCGCCTGCCCTCTGGTGGCAAGATCTGCAAGTGCATCACCACTGTAGGATGCAAGTCCATTCAGCACCTACTGTGCCCCAGGCGCAGAGCTGGTAGTCAGAGAAAAAGGAAAATGGCCCCAGTTCTGAGAGCGCATGGATTAGGGTGGAAGACAGAGGAGAAAACAGGCCATGATAATACGAGGAAGGGACTTACGCTGGGGAAGTTTGGGGTGTTACAAAATAGGGCTGGTTTAAAACAGGACAGCCTCAAATCTGAGAGTAGGAGCTTTTCCCAGCAGGAGGCACCGCCAGGTCCGGGAAGATGTTGCCAGCCTCCACTCTGGAGGCCCTAGGCTTCCCAGGAGGGGTGGGAGGGCGCCAGGGGTACTCTCCCCTACTGGTCTGTCTGCGGCCAGAGCCCCAGAGCCAGAAGGGACGCCTGGAAGAGGTTTGTGACCATGTCTGCAGAGGAGCCCTGGGGCTGTGGCGTGAGGGGTGGAGAGGATCCCAGCCCTTCTCCCTGTCTGAGCCCAGCCTCACACTAGAGAGGCCTCGGGGTCAGTTAGTTAAGTACCTGGGCTTCGGAGCCAGACTGTCTGGGGCCTCACGGCACCATGTGACCTTGTGCAATCCCTCTCTCCGAACTTCAGTTTCCCCATCCGTAAGATGGTAGTAAGAAGGCGAGTGCCCACCTCAGAGGGTGGCCATGGGAGTAAAGCACATGGAACGGCATGTGGCACGTGGTAAGTGCTGTTTACACCGGTCCTTCTTTCTTTTAAAAGTGTCCCCTCTCGGGACTTCCCTGGCAGTCCAGTGGTTAAGACCCCACCTTCCAATGCAGGGGGCGCGGGTTCGATCCCTGGTCAGGGAACTAAGATCCCACATGCTGCGCGGTGCGGCCAGAAGTTTTAAAAATAAATAACTAATAAAAGTGTCCCCTCCCTCGCTCTGATGCCAGACAGTGCCCATGGGGCAGAGACCCCAAAAGAGGTGTCCCGCCCGAGGACGCTGGCTCTGCTGAGCCTGGAACCAAGAGCCGGGCACAGGCCTGGGTGCTGCAGAGACTGTGCCCTGATTCCAAGCGACCTCATGTGATTCCCCGAGGCCCGGAACTGCTCTCCTCTGGGCGGGCTGCTCTGGATTCTCCCACGGGCCCTGTGGGCAGCTGCAGGCTTATTTCTGAGCTGCATCGTCCAGTTTGCACGAAAGCATTGGCTACAAGCCACACATCTATTGAACCTGTCTTTCTGGGGGCGAGCTCTCAAGCTTCACCACTCAAAGCGTGGTGTCATGCTAACCAGCAACATCGGCGTCACATGGGAGCTGGTTGGAAGTGCAGACCCTCAGGCCCCGCTCCTGACCTACAGAATCCGAACCTGCATTTTAACCAGAGCCCAGGTGACTCACGTGCCCATTACACCTCGAGGAGCGAGAGTGTCTTAAGCAACGGGGCTAAGGGGGCAAAGGCATTGCAGGGTGATGCACGTGCCCACTGGGCCTTCCCTGGGCAGCACCCCTGCCAGGGGCCAGAAATTCCAGGGATGTTGGCCAGGTTCAGAGCGTCCTGGCCTCCACACAGCCCGGGCAGCGCTGACCAGCAAGTGCTGAGAGGGACAGAGGCACACAGGCCCCTGTGAGCCCAAGTCTGCCCAGGGGGAGTCAGGAATCTGAGCTGAGACTTGAGGGGAAAATTGCAGTTGGCCAGGCAGACGAGTGGCAGAGGGCGTTCCAGGAAAGGGGACAATCTGTACCGATTCCAGGGCTGGCGTTTTCAGAGGAGAGGACTTCGCAGACCTCATCCTAACACCGTCAAGCCCTGGGGCAATCGGAGGCCCACATCCTCTGTGGCTAAATATTTTAAAGCTATAAATCAAGCTCATAAACTATTAAATAAAGTATGTTCCGGCCTCTTACCTTGACAAATATGCCTTCACGAGGGCCTGCAAGGCCAGGTTCAAATTTAGAATTTTGGGCCTCCTTGGAGTTAGACACCAAAACGTGATGGTGCGGGGGAGCCAGCTTTGCCCGCCCCTTCTGATCCCACCCACCCTGCACCACGAGGACACATGCATACGGGCACACGCGTGCAATCGGCCCAGGCTGCCCATCCTCACACCCCTTGCCCCACAAACAGCTGCCTCGGGTGGCCTCCAGGAGGACAGACCCCAGGAGCAAGCCCTCGGAGTTCCTGGAATTGGAGGAGGGTAACCCTGGGAGGGCGTCTCCTTGACCCCATCGGGGGCACGCCAGCTGGAGAGGCTCTGTGACAACGAAACTATGATACCCTCTATAAGATACACTCTAATTTCAGGGATGTTAAAATGTCAACAAAATGTGCATTTTTTTAAATTTAATTTTTTATTGAAGAATAATTGATTTACAACGTTGTGTTAGTTTCTGGTGTACAGCAAAGTGATTCAGTTATGTGTATATAACTGATATATATATATTTTTTCATATTCTTTTCCATTATGGTTTATTACAGGATACTGAATATAGTTCCCTGTGCTATACAGTAGAACCATGTTGTATATCTATTTTATATATAGCAGTTTGTATTTGCTAATCCCAAACTCCTAATTTATCCCTCCCCCACTGCCTTTCCTCTCTGGTAACCATAAGTTTGTTTTCTATGTAAGTCTGTTTCTGTTTCGTAAATATATTCATTTGTGTCAGATTTTAAATTTCACATATAAGTGATATCGTATGGTATTTGTCTTTTTCTGACATACTTCACTTAGTATGATAATCTCTAAATCCATCCATATTGCTGCAAATGGTGTTATTTCATTCTTTTTTGTGGCTGAGTAATATTCCATTGTATATATGTGCCACATCTTCTTTACCCATTCATCTGTCAATGGACATTTAGGTGGCTTCCATGTCTTGGCTATTGTGGATAGTGCTGCTATGAACATTGGGTGCATGTATCTTTTTTTTTTCCTAATAGATTTTACTTATTTATTTATTTATTGGCTGCGTTGGGTCTTCATTGCTGCACGTGGGCTTTCTCTAGTTGCGGTGAGCGGGGGGCTACTCTTTGTTGTGGTGCGAGGGCTTCTCATTGCGGTGGCTTCTCGTTGCGGAGCACAGGCTGTAGGTGTGCGGGCTTCAGTACTTGTGGCACGTGGGCTTCAGTAGTTGTGGCTCTTGGGCTCTAGAGCGCAAGCTCAGTAGTTGTGGTGCACAGGCTTAGTTGCTCTGCGGCATGTGGGATCTTCCTGGACCAGGGATCAAACCCGTGTCCCCTGCATTGGCAGATCCTTAACCACTGCGCCACCAGGCAAGCCCCGTATCCTTCTGAATTATAGTTTTCTCTGGATACATGCCCAGGAGTGGGATTGCTGGACCATATGGCAACTCTATTTTTAGTTTTCTTGAGGAACCTCCATACTGTTTTCCATAATGGCTGCACCAACTTACATTCCCACCAACAACAACAAAAAAAATTGTGCATCTTACATTGGATGTCCAGCAGCCTTCTGATTCCCTGGCTGTGAGAGTGTTTTTAAGCCTAATGTTGCACTGAATCTATACGTCAATTCACATAGTATTAGCAATATTGACAATTTTAAACCTTAATGATGTTAAATCTTCTGATCCACAAACAAGGGATATCTTTCCATTTATTTAGGGCTTTAATTTCTTCAAATGGTATTTTGTAGTTTTCTGTGTAAAAGCCTTTTTACAAAGCCTCTTTACAGTTATTCCCTCTTCAGAGCCTTGAAAACCCTCTGTGAAGTAGAGATCACACTCTGTACATCAAAGATGCCTCAACTAGTAAGTGACAGAGCTGGGATTTAAATCCCTGGCCCGCCAGCAGAGCTGGGCCTAGACTTGCTCTGCTGGGGGCCGCTCGTTCCAGCCCCTAACTGCATAGGGACCGAACATCTCTCCTCTGTCTGGGAAACCTGCTGACCTGGTGACAGTCCCTCTGACTTGGAGGGGGGGTTGGAGGGAGGGACAGGGGCAGGACTGGCATGAGATGCTCAGGGTCAGGGAAGGAGGGTCCAGGGGAGGGTCCCACACACAGGCTACAGGCAGGGAGGGAACCTGTTTGGTTGAAACAGTGTCCCCAGCCCTTGGCTTCGATGAAAACCACCTGGGCGCTTAAAAAGTTCCCAGCGTCCAGGCTCCACCTCAGACCAATTAAAGCCGAACCCTGGGAGCAGGGCCAGGGAATCCGTGATCTTAAAGTAACCCAGGTGAGGCTGCAGCTCGGGCGGGGAACCGCCGGGTCAGGTGGTGAAGTTGGCCGTCAGTCCTGACCCATCAGCTCTGCCCCAGCACACACTGAGGCCAGCAGAAGAGTCCAGACTTTAGATCAGACAGACCAGGCTACAGTCCCGGGTGTGGATCTCGGTTCCATGTCACAAGTTCTGTGACCCTGGGTGCTTGACCTCTCTGACCCTCAGTTGATGAATCTGTGAAATGGAGACAGGTATACCTACCTTGAGAGACGGGATCTGTTTCTCCTCTTCTTGAGCCTGGACTGGCCTGTGACTGCTCTGACCAGCAGGGTACAGCAGAAGGGACGCTGCACCAGCTCGGGGTCTAGACTCAAGAGGATTGGCAGCTCCCCCCTCCATGTCTTGGGCCTCTTACCTGACTTTTCAGGTGAGGAGAATATGCGGCTGAGAGGTGACTTGCCCAAGTAAAACTATCAAGCGCTCACTGCTTTCCTGGCTCTGAGGGAGGAAAAGGCAACATCTGGGGCAGCAGATTTGACCAGACTTTTGGAGTTTTGAGTCCTGGCTCTGCCACTCCCCAGCTGTGTGACCTTGGGCTGCTAGATAACCCTCTCTGTGCCTAGGCCACTGCTTTTGTAAAATGATGATAAATGGTTGCACCTCAGGGCTGTTGCAGGGGTGAACTGAGAGTACCCTGTCTTGACACAGCGGCTAACAGCTACTGTTAGCAGGGAGGCTCTGCTAGCCCCGGCCTGGAGGTCATGAGGGGCCTGGCCACAGCTGTGCTGATCTGGTGGCTTATTTTTGAGGAAGAAGCGGGACCCAGCACGGAAGCGCCTGGGAAAACCCCCTGTTTCCCACTGGTCCCCTCTTCTCCCCTCTGGAGACAGCAGAGCCATCCAGGGGGTGTCAGGGTGGGGCAGGATTTCCCCTCTTGTGACAGACCCCCACTTCCTCGGCTCGCGTATCACGGCCAAGGTTCAAGTGTCGGCGGGGCTGGGGAGGCAGCGTAAGTTTTGCCCTCCTCCTGAAGCCAAGGGCCCGTGACCCCACCTTTTCCTAGGGGTGAGCCAGATGCCAGGTGGGCCTCCTGGTCCCTGGATGCACAGGTCACCTCCTCTGGGCGCTCCTGGTTCTGAGGCCTGTGGAGGCACATGGTCTTGCCCAGGTGTGCCCAGTCCCCAAGCGCCTCGGGGTTCCTGTTCCTCACGCGAAAACCTCAGACCTTCTCTGTGCTTCTCCCTGGTGAGCGCGTCTCCCCGAGCAGCACAGACCACCCCTGCGTGGAGTCCGTCTTCTCACTGTAGTGCATCGGTCACATCTCAGATGACAGTGGACAGAATCTGGGGCCAAAAAGGGCCTCAGAGATGATCTGATCCAGCCCTTGATCAGAAAATCATTTTTATTGTAGTCAAATATAACCATGATTTACCATTTTAACCATGTGTAAGTGTACCGTTCAGTGGTGACTGAATTTTATAGCTGAGGAAACATTCATTCAAATGAAATTCTCAGCAGAAGCCTGATATAAAACTTTCCACGTTTTGTGGCCCGTGAAGGGCTGGGCCTCCACAGCCCCTGCAGGAGCTGGGAGGGAGCAAAGTGCAGGGCACGGAGGACAGAGGCGGCCCTGGCCGTCGTTCCCGCCACTGCCCCTGCTCTCCATCAGGCATTTGGCCCCCTCGTCCTCGCCCTCCAGGCCTGGTCTGACCCGTGAACACCCCGTCTACTCGGGGACTCGTGGCCTGCTCCCCAGTGCCCACTGGGACCTCCAGCCACAGGTCAAGGCACTGTGGACAGTGGCTTATGGCAGGTCTGGGTGATGGACGAGGGGATGCTGGGCCTGAGCCTACCAGATAGGGACCAGGACGGCGAGATGCTGTCTAAAGCACTAAGGGTGCCCATTCAGTGCCAGGAAGGACCTGCTGGCTGGCAGAGCCGCCCACAGAGGCACAGTTCTGAGATGACTGGGCAACCGTGGAGCTGTGAGCTCAAGACACAGGCCCATGGAGGAAGGAGCCTGGCCATGGGCCAGCCCCCAGGATCCCTGTCAGGCGCGCTTGGACTGGAAGGGACACATTGGCTCCGTCCGTGAGGTGTTGGCACGCTGCCCGTCTGGATGCATTTCTTCTGAGTGAAAAGCGGGTCACGAGTGAACCCCTTGGATGAGGGCTTGCGGTCCTCTGCCCCTGCCCAGCGGCGGGAGGCACAGCGTGAACAAGGAGGGCCCTTCGGGGACGAAGGGAGGGAGGGAGGAGAGAGGAGGACCCTGTGTCCCTGGTGGGCAGGAGGGCATCCAGCTGCAGAAGGAGGCTTTAAGTCAGGAGATGTGATGATTTTGTCCTCCACATAGAGGGCCCACCACGCTCCCCTCCTTCCAAAGGCTTGAAGGAGGAAAACAAGGAATATAGGAGACGTTCTGTGAAGAAAAGCAGATGAACAAAGCACTTACAGTTCAGATGAGAAGCCTCCAACGTGAGTGAGCACATCTGCAGCCTGAAATCCCACAGCTGGACGGTGAGGTGCCGGAGCCGCCACCGAGACCTCACATCCTGCCTGCACCTCACCCAGAGCGAGTGCTGGACCTTCGCAGAAAGGCCGCGGAGGGGGGAATTTACTGCGCGGAGGTAGAGAAGCTCCCCGACGTGCGTGGAAACATCAGCCTCACAGTCACTGGAGTGACCTCCTGCAGGAGGAGACGGGAGAGGAGACAGGAGAGAACAACCTCCTTCCCTGCAACAGAAACGTCTTATCTCTTCTGAGAAGGAAGCTAGAGAAAAGTGGGCGCCAGCTCTTCCCACTGAGGGGAAGCCCAGCTAGTGAGAAGCAGGGGGGACGCGGACACCAGTCGTGGAGCAGAGGCCCGGGGCCATGGGTCAGCAGGTCCCCGGGGCAGGAGGCCGCTGAGCCTCCAGGACTGAGGGACCCGGCTCACTTGCGGGGGTGATGCCACATTCGCAGCAGCAGCCCCGCGGGCCCAGAGACCTTTACCCGTTTTCTCTCCTAAAAGCAATTTTGATCAATAGTTTTTAGTTTAATTGATACCGCACCTGCTCTTATTGAAGTTTAATAAAATTGTGTTTCCTAAGACAGTGTTCTTCAAAGATGGATGATTTTGATATAATCATTACGAATACATTATTTCCACTTCATTGGACCCTCTAGAGCTAGATGGGATAAGTATTGCATTTTGATTGAAACACAAGGTCCACTATTACTTAACCTGTAATTGAACTTGGACACGCCAAGATGGAGACGGGTGAAAAATAAATCCATTTCTATATTCTGGGGAAAAAACCGATGAGAGTGGGCTCCTGCCCAGGATGTCTACTGAGGGGAGCCCTGAAGCCCCGGAGCTTTTCCACGGATTTAACCCTTCACGTTGCAGGTGGGGAAACAGAGAAGCGATTTCCCTGGGTAACCCTGGGAAATTCACGGCAGCACAGGTACGAGCGCCATGTCTCTTTGTTTCCAGTCCAGCTTTGAGCCGCGAGTTGCTCAAGAAGAATAGGCTTCTCGGCCCCCACCTGTAATTCTAAGAAAATTTAATCAGCTTCCTGGTGCTTTACAAAAAGAGCCAGCTCTTTCTACCTGTTTGCAGCCTGGCCTGATGTTACCTTGGCAACAGCTGTCAACAGAAATATTGCCTCCCCCCCGGGCCTGTCACATCCTTTATACCAGACATGTGTGTGGCCAGGTGAAGGGGCAAAGCAGTTGGGCCTCGTAGACCCGGCCTCGGGGCTCCTTTCCGCTAAGATCTGCTTACTTATAACCCAAAGGAAATTTGTCCTAAAAACAGGATTTCCGTGCTCGCTTGGCTGGTTTTCTTTTTATACTCTATAAGGACTTAACGGGGAGAACCTTGCCGTTTGAAGAGGTTATTTTTAACAGCAGTATTAGCCTGACATCCTAAACCTGGGATGTTACAGGTCAGTAGGAAAACCCACCGGACCTCACCGTCCAGAGGAGAAAAGGAAAGCCTCTCCAGGAGAGCTGATTGCCCAGAGTCTGTGTAATTTATTGGCGATGCAGGGCTTTGACTTGGCTGGAGTCCTGGTTGCCTTTTAGGGGTTTGGCGTTACTGCAGGTCTGGCTTGCTGACAGCAACGCCGTGTAGGTGCTGCCATCCCATGGGATGGGCACAGGCTTGTTCGTGGCCTTTATTAGAGATGGGGCACATTCTGGGGGCTAGATCCTGAGTCATCTTCTGGGAACCCCATTCTCTTGCTCCCAACTCTCCCTTCCCTTGTCTCCCAACTGTCTGCCACGGGCTGGAGACCTGGAATCCCTAGGGTTTGGGCAGGGGACGGACTGAGTGAGGTGGGCAGGGAGGGGCTGGTGAACTGGTCATCTGTCCCCACTCGGCCTGCACGACACCTGCGGCTGGAGCTTTGTGTCTGTTCCGTCTCCCCTCAGTCAGGATCCGAGGTCCATTCTGCTCCCAAGGCCCCTCCTGGACTTCCACAGGCTCCACATGCGCCCCTGGCGTCTGGCTGCACCCCCAGGAGGGAGGGGGAAGGCTTGACCTCTCCCCTCTTAGGCCTCCGGCTGGGCCTGAGGATTCAACTGACCTAAGACAGATTAACAGGAGAAAAGCATGCAGAGTTTTACCTGTACATGGGGGCCCTACAGGAAAACGAAGGCCCAGAGACGTGGCAGAACCTAAGTGCTTATATACTAGGTTGGATGAAGAAAGGAAACTGTGGAAAAGGAACGAAAACACCTGGAGAGGCTACGGGAGGAGAGTTAGTTCAACAAGGTCCGTCTGCACGGCATCCTCCCTGGCTTGACTCCCTGTCTCTGATGATGGGTGTTTCTTCCTCCTGAAACAGGGACCCCATTTTGATCTGCCGGCAGCAGGGATGCTTTCTGCGTTGGGGACATGTGACGAACCACAAAGACCCCTTCGTGGGGGACACATATTAAAATAGGCAGGAAAGTAGATTTCCAACTGCCATCATGGTCTGCACCCCCGGGGAGAGCTGTGGACCCCGCTGTGGACCAAGGACAGGCGCTTGCTCCTGGTCACCCAGGCTACCAGCTGGGTTCCTCGTTTTACTAAAACGCTCACCTGTTCGCTGTACGGCCTCCCCGCCCCCCCACCAGAGTGATCTCATGTGCGTGGTTGTCTTTTCCATGACTTGCAGGATGCAACTCAGGCAGCATCCCCTCTGCAGGCAGCCTTGCTCTGAGCTAAGATGAGATGTGCTACAGGGGAGGGATGGGTGCAGAGAGTCGGGCTGAGGTTACTCCAGAGTCACACTCCAGATCCCATCGAACCCTCCATTTGGACTGTCTGGAGGGGCTCACGCTCACCAGTTGCCAAGGGCTGTCCTGCTCAGAGCCCCTTCCCCATGCTTGTCCTGGAAAACTTCTGCTCTTGCTTCCAGAACCAGTAGCTGAGGAGCCATTTCCATGAAGTTGAGTTGGGTTCCAGTACTAGACAGAGGTCCTGTTTTGGCTTTCCATCATGAGTCCCCCTTTCATGTAGAGTGGTCCCCACTTCCTGCCTGCCTCCCGCTATGGGAGCAGGGAGACAGAGTTCCCCCTCTTCTGCCCCCGACTGCAGGGCTCGTGTTGTGGTCCAGACCGTGACTGTGTCATCAGTGGTGGAGGTAACCGTGCTGGGGCCCAGAGCCGGAGACGCAGGCTGTGACAGCAGCAGGTGTGCCTAGGTGGTCTGACAGCAGCAAGTCTGCCTAGGTGGTGTGACAGCAGCAGGTGTGCCTAGGTGGTCTGACAGCAGCGGGTCTGCCTAGGTGGTGAGACAGCAGTGGGTCTGCCTAGGTGGTCTGACAGCAGCGGGGTCTGCCTAGGTGGTGTGACAGCAGCAGGTGTGCCTAGGTGGTGTTACAGCAGCGGGTCTGCCTAGGTGGTCTGACAGCAGCGGGTCTGCCTAGGTGGTCTGACAGCAGCGGGTCTGCCTAGGTGGTCTGACAGCAGCGGGTCTGCCTAGGTGGTCACCACTGCCTTTGGCTGATCTCACTGTGGCTCATTTGATTTCTGCCTCTGACTTGTAGCTTCCTATCTATTCTGTGAGCCTGCAACGTCCTTAAAAAAGTAACGACAACAAAACGAAAACGAAAACCAAAACCAAAACAAAAGCCCTTGTTTGCTGCAGGCGGTCAGAATTGATCTGTTTTGCAGCCAAGAGCCCTGATGGATGGAGAATCCTGTCCGGAACTCTGGGATCCCGTGTGCTTCTCTGAGGTGGTTCATACGTGCAATGCTTCAACAGCAATGATGGCTGATTCCTCAAGCCCTTTCTGGGAACTGGGACCTTGACAAGAGTTCTCGCATCAGTTCTCGGGGGCCTATATCTACAGTGATGTCCGCGGGCTCTGACGGAGCAAGTGGAAACGGACCGGAATTACTGGAGGATTTCCCAGCACGACAGTGTGTAGTGACGTGCTGCCTGGGTGCCTAGATCCCCCCGTCTGAGTCCCAGGGCGAGAGTGCTCAGTCCCCAGCGGCCAGGAGGTCAGGTCCTGTCCCCAGGGCAGCCTGCATCTGTGGTGCCGAAGCCATGGCCAGGCATCCTTTGGCATTTCTTGCATCGAGGAGTGAAGTCTGCATCCCCTTCCTTGAATCTGGGCATGTGCTGGGGCTGCTTGGGCATGGATCGCAGCAGGAGGAAGGCTGCCCAGGTGTCTGTGCCGAGCCTGGAGAAACCAATGGCTTCCGTATGGCCCTCGTGGTGCCCTCTCTCCGGGAGCCCTGACCGCCCCATGAGAAGACCAGTCGTCTTGGGTCGGTGTGGCTGTGGTCAAAATAAACAGTAGATATGGCTCAGGGCTGCGTCTTCTGTTTTTGTTTATGTCGCACTAAGTGTGTTTGTTGGCCCCTCCAGGGGAGCAGGGGGAGATAGGATGGGGTGTGTCAGGTGTCGCAAAGGGCCTCGGCAGCCAGGCTCAGGCCTGGGGACTCATCCTATTGACAGGAATGAACCTGAGCCCTTTCTGAGCGGCGGGTTGGGAGCGATCCCCGTGGCTCTGAGTGGGCAGGTCACGGGGCCGGGGCAGCAAGGGCCAGGAAGCCAGGTGGGGCCACTGGAGATCTGGGGACACGTCTGCGGAAGAGACCGGGAAGGAGGCACCTTCCCCGAGCTGTGACGGGCTCAGCCATTCTCTTAGTCTGAAATCCTTCATCCTAGTGAGTCCTGAAGTCCCCGACTCAGTGATTCTGAGAATTCATGATTCCTCGATCCCACGACGTGAAATGCCCGTGTTTCTCCAGTTGTGTGATCTGGTGATTCACAGAACCTCTCACCCGGCAGCTCTAAAATTCTCTGATTCATATGCTCTGCTGAGTCAGCCCTTGCAGTTCCTGCCAACCCCTGCCCCATGGCTTCTCCTGGGAATTGAGGAAAGGCCGTTTGTTTCTGTCTTTTCTGTTCAGACAGGTGTCTCTGGGGGGCCTCTACCTTCCTCTGAGGTGGCTGAGATGGGGATTGTGCAGGTGGGGAAGATCCCGGAGGCAGCTGGAATAATGCGGAGTGTGTGACCCCCGTGTGCCCCGGGTGCCCGAGTGCTGAGGCGGGAGCAGAGCCCCACCTTCGGGGGGAACTGAGAGGTGCTCGTGACCCAGGGCCCATCACCCACTCTGCTCACGCCCACCTGCTGGAGCAGCACCCCCAGGGCTGTGGTCTCCCTGAAGAGCCCTCCAGAGACAAGCTTCTGGGGTGGGGTCGCACCTTGTCTTAAGCCACGAGCTGGAGTCGCCCAGTGGCATCCGTAACCACTGGAGTTGACAGGAGGCCTGAGGGCATGGGAGACAAGCAGAGTGGCCTGTGGATTTGGGTGACAGGGATTATGGGGGACAGGTGAGGGGTGCTAGTGGCAGGGCCACAGAAACGAGAAGCCTGGATCGGGGACTTGGATAGGCCTGCTGGCCCAGGGCCCACAGTGCCATGAGCTGGTCTTTATTCTTCTCCCCCTCAGCCAGCCTCTCGGCATCAAATCCAGGAGATGAGGCCCTGCGTGCCAGGTTGCTGTGAGGCCCAGTCAGGGAAACAGGGAAAGCTGTTGGCACCGCGTCTGGGACTCTTGCTATCAGTTTTTAGTGGCTCTTTTCAGGGCCGTGCGTGGCCGTCTCTGCCGGCCAGGCCTCCCTGGCCCTCGTGTGCACGAGTCTCCCTGCAAGTGGGGGCTGCTCTGAGATGGTATCAAGAGAAGGAGGCGGTGTGGGAGGGAAGCCAGGCCTACCTCTAATCCACATGGCCCTCCTGGTCCCTCCTTGGCCAGCCTTGGGGTTTTGGGAGCTGCTCTGAGTCGGAGATGAAATGGGCCACAACCATGGTCACTGTTGGTTATGAAAAGTGGGGGAGACATGATCCAGCATGTGTGTACACATGCATCCATCCGTCCATCTATCCATCCATTCATCCATTCATCTATCCATCCATTCATCCATCCTTCCATTCAACTATCCATTCATCCATCTATCCTTCCATGCGTCCATCCGTCCATCTATCCATCCATCCATCCATCCATCCACAATTTATTAAGTGCCTACCGTGTCTGAAAGAGTGCACCCCACCCCCTTGGATGACTTTCTATGCCCCTATCCTGCTCTGTTATTATTTATGCCTTTGTTCATCTGTTCACTCTCTTTCTCCCCCACTAGAATTTTAATTCCACGAAGACTTTGTCTTATTCACCACTGCATCCACAAATCTAAAATCAAGCCTGGCACTTAATAGGTGCTTGAAAGCATTTCTTCAATGTATGAATTTAACCCACCTCCTGAAACAACCCTGGGAATAGGTGTTATTATCCTTCATTTATAGATAAGGAAGCAGGCCCAGAGAGGCCAATTGACTTGCCCACGGTTTCACTATTAGTAAGTCGTGACCTGGGAGCCAGGTTTCCAGAGCTGGGTCTAACCCTTCATACTGCTCCATGCTTCGTGAGGAGGGAGAGAGGGGCACAATTAGTTCTCACTGGGCAATCGAGGGAGGCTTCCTGCAGCAGGGGGCCATGGGCAATGGAGGGTGGGTGGGATGTCCCCAGGCAGGGGAGTAGGTGAGGACAGCCAGCTGAGGAGACTTCTTTGGCCAAGGCCTGGGGGATAGGAGTGTGGAACCGGCCTCTGGGGTGAGGAGGGAGGCCTTACAAGACCCAGCCAAAAGCCTGCCAGACTTCTCGGGAGCTAGAAGCAATCCTCCACCCCTGCTGGTGGCACTGTCATTAGGACATCGGTGCTGAGTCTGGCCTGTCCTTGTCAATCAACTGACAGCAAGACATGTCCCCAAACACCTCGCTGAAAGGGCCTTTCTCCCAGGTTGTGGGCTCAGGGGCACCTCTGCCATGCAAAGTGGGCTCCCCCTGGGCCCAGGAAAAGGGTCAGCTTAGCCAGGCCTGGGCAGACAGCCGGCCGGCCTGGGAGCCCTGGTTACACTCTCCCTACCTGCTGGACAACACCTTCCCCGCCCTGGACCTCAGCATCCCCATCTGTAATCGAAATGGTTACTGCAGCCCTTTGTCACCTGTGATGCTGGTGACCTCACCCAAAGCTGACTCTCCTGTGCATCTCGCTGCAGGTGAGGTATCTTTTCACATTGGACCCCTCCTTTGATCATCAATAACCCCGTGAAAGAGGCAGGGAGGGATCAATATCTCCATTTTCTCAGATGAAGGAACTGAGGTTTGAGAGAGAGAAAGTCGTCGGTCCAAAGTCGCTGAGTCAGTGAGTGGCGTGTCCTGGTCTGGAATCCCAGCTCATCCCTCTGCGGCCACGAGGCCGGAGACTGCAGTCAGAATGGTGTCATGTTCTGATTCCGCTGGGGTCCCTGGCCAGGGTGTCCCTTTTTGAGTTCTCCTGTCATGCCACCCTCTGCCCACCCCCAGGGAAGAGGCAAAGGGCCCCCCTAAATACACCAGAAATGACTCCCCTCCTCTGATCTAAACCCCCATCCGCGTTTGGGCCACCACACTGGAGCCTTCTAAACTGCCCCGTCATTGGGGCCGTCCTGCGGTTCCCACACTGCCCATCCCAGGGAGGAAAGCTCGGGTGAACTTACAACCTGACCTCATTTCCGGGAGAGATTTCTTTAACCCAGAGAAGCTAGCCTAGCTGGCGCTGGGCATGGGGGCATTCTCAGGTGGGGACAGCAGCTTCTTGGGGCCAGGCTGACTGCACCAGCAGCGGATTCTCAGGGTAGATGCAGGGGGACTACAACTCTGGCCCCTGGTGGACAAACAGCAAGCCCTCGTGGAGGCCAAAGCCTTTGTTCTAGAACTCTGGGCTCATTACTTCCCTTTGCTAGGCCTCCCTGCCTACAAAGCGCGGTAATCCCCCTTCCCCAGGCTGTCCAGATCCAACAGGACAGACGAGGCAGGGAGAGGGGGGAAGGGTGCGGGGTTCTAGGTGGCGACGCAGACCTAGATTTCCGCCCTGGTTTTGCCACTTACTAGCCTAGTGGCCTCGTGCAGGTTACTTAATAATAAATACCATTCACCTGCTAGGATTGTTTGGGGTCAGGGGGGTTAATTTGATAGAAAGCACTTTGAAGACTGCTGAGCTCCCCAGGGGGCTGCTGTGTTAGGGGTTATTGTGACAAGGTCCCAGCAGTGGAACAAGCAGAGGGATTAAGGCTCTGAACAGCGTGATGGTTCAGGGCCGGACAAAGGCTCAGGGCATGAAGCCCTTCGGAGATGCAGATGCTAAGGACGGGCTCTGGGTTGTAGGGTGGCAGAAGGAGCCAGGGCCAGATGGGGGTGTGTTCTGGTTTGGGAGGAGACCTTGAGCTGTGGGTACGCTTTTGGGTGAGCTCCAGGGAGGGGACCAGATGTGAACGGTCGTTGGATGAGTAGGGAAAATGCACAATGCCGGTAGCTGAGAGCCTCTGCAAGGCTGCCTGGGCCTGTGCGGAGGGCCGTATTCCGAGACATCACCTTGGCTGGCTTCCCTGCAAGACGCTGGTCCTGGGGGAGCTGTGCTTTGTGAGGTAACAGAGGAACAAGGTGGGGGCTGTCGTGGGGTGGGGAGAGCCCCCGAATGCTCGAGTTTTAGGGCACAGGTGGAGACTCAAGAAGCCCCGAGATCCCCCAAGAGGAGAGTAGG